TTATTCAACAATCGGGTAAGAGAACGCAAGAGCTAAGCCTCGACCGTGCGCAACGGGCACGACTATTTCTTATTCTGTGCTGCTGCTGTTGCTCGTGGGGGATGAAATCCACGGGGACAACCTTTCTTTTGGGCGCATCGCGTGCAGCTGCGACCGCGAATATCCTTCGGATGCGTCGGTTCACAGGATTAGGCTGAATAGACGAGAGTAAACCGTAACGAAAGTTTCTACCGCGATTTCTTCGCTCGCGAGACTCTACCACTCACCCCTTCTTCCCTGACGCGTTTCTCTTGCTATACCTAGTTCCTTAAAAAAAACGCGAATACTCGCACACACACAGACACATACACATTAAGCAAATAAATATGCCCCCGTATTCTCTGCCAAGGCATTGTGGTCGCGCCGCGACGCAGTAAAATACGGCAGTTTTATTATCCCACCAGTTTTAGCATGGCGCGGGGGTCTGGCCTAGTCTCGCAGCCGCGGCCAGAATAAACTCTCGAGACGGTAAACTCTAGGGGGAGAGGGGTGAAACCTATGCGCCGGATAAACCAGACGGGGGATCTTCGGATCTCGTATCTCCTATTTATCATACAAACTTTTCTTCATTTTTTACGACCGCCGGGGGTACACACCCCTTCCGGGCGAGCACGTTGATGGCCGTGGATTTGGCTAGGGGTAAACCGACACCCCCGTACATTTGGTCCGATCTACGGTATTCCCTAGAGACGCATAATGAACATGCACACACAGTGTCCAAGATCGATGGAATGTTTCACCTTATTAATCGGAAATAATGAGGAAATTCAGATTTTATGTTTCGTGTCTACTGACAATCTTTTTTCACGTCGCAACCGTGTTGATGACTTCGTGACGCAACGATGTACATTACGAACGTACGTAAGCAGTAAACAAGAGTCGTTATTACTACCCTTACTCGAGAAGAACTGGAGATGATTAATATTCAGCGACGGGTGGACGTCAGGAAATTAGCGGGAGGGAATTTTCGCGGTCGCGAGGCGTCGTTGTCGCGGAACTTTTTGCGATTGTCGCGACGAACGAGGCAAGAGGGAAACGGGTAGCGATGGGGGCCAGTAGGAGGAAGCGAAAACGAGGCAGAGGACGAGACAAAAAGGACGGCGAGCGTGGCAGTGGAAACTCGGCCGGGTTCCCCCGTTAATAACTGGACTCGACTTGATTATGGTCGCTACGGGCGCATTGGCTGGCGGTGGTCCGGCCATGGCGGTCGCGTCGAACGGGGGTGGCTGCTAATGGGCCGGATATGGATGAAAAATTATCCCGGGGCTTTAATGCGCCCGCCCGTTTTTCGTTATTACCCGGGATTTTAAGGCACCGTTGGGAGCGTCTGGGCGCAACGGCGTGATACCGACCGAGCCCTTTGCTCGCCGTGTCGCTGAGCATAGGCTCGTCGCGCTAATTTATTCGACGATTAAACGTTTGATCGTCGGGGCGAACCGTCCACAAACGATTCCATTAGAACGGGAGCGGCACGGTTGACTTCTAACGCGACCGCCGGAACAAAACTGATTCGTATGATCAGTCAAACCTGCGTTATTGCGTTAGAGCCATCGATCGAGTTACTTGTAATGGGAATCGAGGCGAATCGTCGAGGAAACAGGGAACAATAAACAAAGGAATAGTACTAACTTAAAAATAATTCCGACCGGTAGTATTTTCCCCCGTTGAACGGGTTAAAAACTACCCTATAATTATAGCACAACTGAGAAACCAGTCGGTGATACAATAAAGATTGTATAATAATTTTTCCAAATCAACAATTCCACTAAACAAATTTATTCCGTAATTCTTGCGTGAGAATGCTTGCGATCTATAATCTCCAGTACTATGTACACCCACTATATCGAAATCGTCGGTCCATCGTGGCGAGACAGAGATCCGAATCGATTGCACAACGAAGACTACCGACGCGGTTCTTACGCTCGAAGAGCTTATCGGTGAAAATACAGGCGAATAAATCGGCGCGTTATCGGGTCCACGCTGTCAATGGTCGGCGGGGAAGTTATCGGTAGCCGGTGTGGTCGTTGCACCCTGTGCGCACAGTTCACGGAGGCGCGCGACCGAGAGCGGTCCCGCGATAACGACGCAACAGATTCCCATCGATGACGCCAGAAGTACGTAATCGAGGGGGCCCGCGCTCGGTGAGCACGTCGAGCGACCCTCTCGCAGCTGATCGACCCGCAACTACGATGCTACGGAGATTACGGGGTACTCAATTAAGGGATTCGGTATCATAGAATTCGAGAGCTTCGGATTAAGGACGCTTATCGTCGGAGTAACTTTGGATTATACGACGGCCGGCCGGACGGCGTGGCCGTGTGCTGCGTACCGAATCCTATCTACTAGCTGCGAATAATAATGGAGAGTATACAGGAAAGTGGGAAAGGTCTTTAGAAGCTGGGCCGCGAGCTCCACTAACGGGAAAACAGAGAATTATGTCAGGATCGAATGTCTCTAGGTTTGGATAATTTCGATATTGCATCGAAACAATTGTGGGAAATATCAAGGAACTGGAATAGGAACTGACAGTTTTTTTATATGTAGAGTACAGACTCTTCTTGATTATTGTCTGGCTTGGTCTACACGATTATTGTCCAGGCGTTACAAAAACGAATTTACGAGGGTCTGAAGCATTTCTCCCTATAAGATTATTGTCCTGGCGCGGACCCATGATCGAGACGATAATTGAGAGGAGTCTGTAGCTGGTGAAAGAGAAAAACGTCAGGAATGGACGTTTTATTGACTCTTTCGTTGGTTCAAGGACTAACAATCGTCTGTTTGGAAGAATGCTACGTCTAGAAATTCGACTGCAGCAAACACTGCAGTAGATGACAATTTTGATAAGTCTAGTAACCAGTTCTCGTTGATATCCTTGCTGGGAATAGTTTATACGGTTACATTTATAACTCTGATATCCCCTAAACCGAAAATCGAATGTTTAGCCCGTTTGTTTCCGATCGTCTAAAAACAGAAAACGTTAATTCAGTCGCGGTATGATTTGCGTCCTGTTGCTGTTGGTAACGTCCCAATTTGCGTAATTAGTAATATCTGATTAACTAAACCTGTAGTAGGACCGGATTAAATGAAATCGCAGAGCAAATCGCTGTGGCTCGTAAATCAGCTTATCCAGCTGCGACTTGTCCTTTATTCATTGTGTTTGCGCTTGTTTGCCGTTATACTCTGCCCCCGGTGTCTATTGCGTCGATGGCTATAAATACTGATATTATCGCCGCCATTAGGCAGTCTTGTACTAGGACAATCCCGCTAAATCGACGAATTTTAATGTCCCGTTGGTCTACGAGTTGAATCATTCGGTTATGGCCCCCGTGTATCGCATCGTTTACGGGTATCACTGGGTGAACATCGCAAGGGTCAAATCTTTCATTCCACTGCAATCCACCCCAAACGGTTCCCCAGCCGCCCTGAGCTATACATCGGTAGGAGATGGCCAATTGCGTGGATAAGTGGAGGGGAAGAAAAGTTGAGCCAATAAAGTGGCAATAGAATACCGATTCGATGTGATTCGGATGAACCAGAGAAAACACGATTCTAATTGTTCTGTGCGAACGAATGGACGAAGAAAATACGGTATCGTACTAAACCACTGTCAATACGTTGTTCTAAATAAGATCAACACCTTTAAGTTACAATTACATTACACGTCGCGTTAAAATAACGTGAGAATATTTTTTTAGGCGTAAAATACATCTGCATCGAATTATGTGAACGAGATTTGAGAACCTTATTTACGTACTTGGTAATCACACTTGTATCTTAATCTTACTGTAAATATAGGAAATATCCATTACACAATATGTCTGAAAAGTAGCAGTATCAGCAGTATATTAATTAAAGCTCTAACCATGTTTCAAAAAATTGTTCACTTCGTTCAAAGGATGTTCCTTTGGATTTAATATAATGCTTGACACGACCAATATATGAATAGATTTATCGAAATTTGCTCTCGGAATCGCCTCGAGCATCCTTGTCACGGCAGTTTCTATGGCAGGAATGTCATCGTAGCGAATCCCTTTCATAGGAATTCCGGATCTCTAGGAAGTAGGAAGTGATCACGTGGAACCAAATCTGATGAATACGGCGGATGGGTGAATACTGCTGTTTGCATTATCACCAAAAATACACGCAAGATCACGGTACCATGAGCACATGCAATATCGTCTGTGTACAAGCAAACGTGACAAGGATACTCAAGAGGAATCCAAAATCAAATTTCCAAGAAATCTACCCACTCACTAGTTGATCGTGTCCAGCGTCGTATTAATACCGAATGAACATACTTTAAATAAACTGAACGAATTTTGATAACATTATCAGTATTTAAAATAATATATGGTAGTTTCAGTTATTTTTCAGACATACTATGTAGACTACCACTCATAAGTATGTAATCCAGGACACCTAGTCTGTATAAAGGAAGTCTACTCTCAAGACACTTAGCTTATACAAAGAAACTGTAATGTCAAAAGTTCTACACTCTAAGGCCAAGTTTAACACGTTTGCTACCAGCGCATTATTTCGAAAATGTTCGTCACAGACTACGTTAGACTTTCTTCAATGGAACATCTTTTGTTCAGAAATTAACAATACACGAAACCGAGATAATGACACAAAATATACACAAAAAAACCAATTCAATTTTTTCAAACCCTGTTCAATTTTTATCTAAGAAAGTATGCTGACATAAAATCGGAGCGTCACATATATGTGACCTTGGTAGCAAACGTGTTAATCCTCCATAACAGCACAAGTGTTGTCCCACGATCTTTAATATCCCCCCAAACAACAATATTCCTCCAGCCGTTTTTCGATAAGCGTTTCAGAGATACATTCGATCACCGTCCTAATACTTATCAGAAAAACTACACATCGCAGTTACCGTTGATCCAATCGAAGGACAAGGGACGCGTGGTCCAGTAATGAAAAAATATCATGACACTCACCGATCATCGTAGACGAAACCCGCTTGCAGTGTGTTGCAGTAGAGGGCCGTGGCGACGAGGGCGCAGGCTACGGCTAGGATATCCATGTCACATCGTGGCGAGAACGGTGGCGGCGGCGGCAGCGATGTCGACGGTACCGGCGGCGGCCTCTTAACTTGTTGCACGTCCGCGGGCCTTCCTCCTCCACCACCTCCACAGCCCCTCCTCCGCCACCTCCTGGATCCAGCGGCTCGTCGTACGGCGGTCGAGACGTCCGCCGGACGGTCCAGCGACCGCCGTTCTGACGCCTGCCCGGTTGTTGTATCCCGTCCGGGACGAATGTCGGTGACACGTCGCGTGAAACGAGCCAGCGATCAAACAGCCGCAGCTTCGTCGTGCCGTGACGCGCCGCGACCAGAAAGGCGACGATACACCGAACGGTCGCGGGCAACGCGGCAACGGAACGACGCGGAATATCGGCCGCTACCGTGGCCAGGTGGTGCCGTGACGCAGCTCGTGGCCGCGACGTCAGACCGTCAGAGAATCCGCGAGGAGTTTGGACATCCGTGATCCACCGCGCGAATGTATATCCCCTGCGGCTTTACAAACGAGAAGACCACGGAAGAATAATCACGAGATTTCACCGTTGAAGTATTCAGCTCGCGCGCGAAGCTTCCGTTTTTCGTTTCACTTGTATATACCGAATCCTACCCGGGGGGGGGGGGGATTGGAAGAACCGAGAGAACCGTGTCTCTTAGCGGCGTCACTTTCACTGGTTCAATCCGATCCTCTTGCGATCACTGGTCAAAATAGGGTAAGTACATCGTATGGTAAACTTGGCGACTTGAAGCTAATAAATTACAGGATGTCTTAACTCGATCCGTAGATAGGTCGACGTGTTTTTATAGCTCCCCTTTTTCACCCGGGTGATTTGTTATTGTACGTCGAATGACAATTGTGAGGAACACGCGGTCAGCAAGCAACGATCCTGGCCGACGAACCCTCTGTCACTAATGACGATGTGTATACCTGAGTCGCGAACCGAGGTCGATGTTTCGATGTTACAGCGACAACTACGATGACGACGACGGACACTGGCAACGAGAACGAACGTAGATATACGATTTGACACGGAGTACCCGCGACGCGGCGCATGTTCCGAATGCGGAACGCCAACTGTCGCGCGCCCCCCGAGGACGAGCGCTTTATACGAGACGGGCATCGATCGGACGGGCGCTTGCGCTTGCCCGCTCCTCTCTGGCTCTTCCTCCTACCTCCTGCCTCCTCGGATATGCTTCCTGGTCCTCTCCTTCGTCGCTCCTATACACTCCTCTTCGTTGCTCTATCTATCTCTCTTTCTCTCTGTCCTCTCACCCGGCCCCCGTCTGGTTCGTTCCTCCTCGTCTACGACCGGCCGCGAGAGCACGTCGCCGACCACGACCACGACCACGACCAACGGACTGGATTAACCGCAACTCCGGCGACGCTGGGTGACCGATGGCTGCCCTTTTGGAAAATGACGCGCAACTCCGGCCTGTCCTCCTCCCCCTCTCCGCCCCTATACGCGTACGCCGGCAATCTCGAGGACTTCGGTGAACGGAGTATCTTAGATCGACACGCTGCTGGCCCCCCGGCCCCTGAAGAGATATATCTGAAAGGAGAACGTCTGTGTCATGAAGTTTGATCTTCCTGGGTGAATGATAAATCTATTACATATATGTAGGACGTGATCCACTATGTAGATTGAGTATTACGAACATCTTGGAAATCACGTCGTAACCGTTGGTTACCGGAGAGAAAAAAAGACAGATCGGGACCAATCAGCCTGAACCGTTATTGATCATTCAGCAGAATCCACGGTTTTAGGTGGAACCACCGATTTCACCGAGAACATACGGAAGGTCCAGATGGTCATCCATCAAGATATTGACCCGACGTCCGAGTCAGGAGAATCTTTCCCGGAGGGTAAATTGGAAACCTTTCCTTTATTAGATACACAGTGCTCGACGTGTCGCAATCTTCGCTACGTCACAAACCTCCTTGTTTATCACCGGTATGCTACGCAAGCCGCTTCAATTAGCCCTTACGAGATTAATTTATCGTGAGGGAGGCGGGTTACATCGCGATACAGTATCGACCAGCATCCATTTCCGGCCTCCGTTGGCGATAAGGGAACGCGTGATTGCGATCACGAGCAAAGGGAGAATGGATCTGACACGAACGAAGAGTGGACAACAGGTGTTGAAGGGATTCCGTGATTTCTTTGAGAAAAAAACCAACGCCCCTGTGCTCGAAGCAGCGCGATATTAAAATACGGCCGGGGGAGGGCTTGTAACCTCTGTCCCTCGTTGTTACCGTGTTCAGCCCCCGTGCTCGCTCAAATTACCACGATTAATCACTATAGTCGCGAATAATTAATTGCGCGCAAGGGGCTGCGTGAAGCGTACATTCATCACTAGTATTGTTTTAACAGTGCCAGTTACGCTCGGTGATAGTATACTTAGTGGGATGGCGTGTACCCCGTTTCGGTCGTAAACGAAAGACATTCCTCCACGGAACTTTCGATTAATAAAGCGAATGGAATAAAAATCGTCCGTCTCGCCTTTACCGTCGAGCAATTTTCCTGAAACCGATTAAATTACACGGACAGCCTGTACTCGGGAACTGCTTGGTTCAATTTCCCTTTTTTTTTTAATAGAACTTACGTCGGTTACAAATCACTCTGTAAGACCAAACAGCGTTGAAGGGTTCGTTTTGGAATTACATATTGGTTGTTAAAAATATCGGTAATATACGCGCGAAATACATTCCCATCTTTACGTTAATCTTCGTTTCAATCTATTAAAAACTCGTGAACGAAGCCACCATCGTAATTTCATTATTCTTGATTTTCGTCTTCATTCGATATTCAGAATCCACCCAGGGATAGTGTCCCATATTATCATTAACACCCCTGCACACAAGCGATTGAAACAGTAGCGAACGATCAAACGACCTACTAAAATAGAAAAAAAAAACAACATAAAACAATCACGAACGAACCTCTAATCAAGCTGTCCGCCACTTAACTCCCCCGCTCGTATAAAGCACAGGACGCATGGGGATGTCGCTGGTAAACGAGGACCGATCGAAAGTCACCGGAGGTCCCGGAACGAAGCACGGGTAAACAATTCCGCGCACGGTATGGGGCAGCAGGCGATTATATACGAAGGGGAAGAAGGGTCGAGGAGACCATGGGGGCCACGTATATTACGGCTCACGTACACGCGGTCCTCCCTCTGCCCCCCACGTTTGCAATGACCTTTGTCCACCTTCTTCTATTCCCTCGTCTTTCCGCGACCCCTGATGCCATGGAAGGGGGTGGGGATCACCCATGACGGTCGACGCACGTGATGAAACACGGTCCGATATTTCCGTCGTCTCAAACCCAACACAAGGGAGAAAGTACCAGGAATTGCTTTTCCGCGACGAGATCCGATCGTGGAACGTTTCCGTGTACCCCACCGTCTTCGTGCAGTCGCAACGCGACGAGGCGTCGGTTGCTGTGTGTATCGACGGGTTAGCGGTGGCGCGTGCGCTCAATCGCGACAACGATCCAGTAATCAATTAGATAACAGGCGTACCCAGCCGGAAAAAAAAATGTTAGTTTCCTTGGGCAAAAAAATATTACTTTCCGGTGGCCGTAATATAGAGTGGTGCCGAGCGAGTAGGTACATCGTGGCGGAGCACGCCACGCGGCGTGGCGGAGGACATGGGGCAATGGCGCACGGTTGGCGGCGAAGGGTCGCGTCGAATCGCTATATGTACGTGTACACGGGTGTGTAGGTGTGTACGTGTGTATACGCGGTGAGGCTACCCTGTTATTTGTCCCACGCGCTGGCAGATTAAGATAATGGGCTAATGCGGACCCTCCACGCCGTGCTGTTGCCTGCGACCGATGCTAGCGACCGGACATCACCGTGTCGACGTCGACGTCGGGGCAGACGGGAGAGAGGAAAGAAGGGCACAGAGATACGATGACCGTCGACCACGCGATCCACCCGGGGCAACAAGCTCGGTTATACGCGCCTCGTTCCGAATTATCGTGCGAACTAATCGCGAGCATGCGTCCTACCGTGCTACACCCGCGGTAGACACGCTTGCAAAACCGGTCGAATTGCAAGGCAACACGACAATGATTGTTACGTAACACCCAGCCGACTATTAGCCGATCAGAAAGTATCAACGGGCTGGAGAACAAGCAGCTAGGACGGGGAGAAAATGTGTGTACGTAAAGTGGATCGAGAGGAATGCCTGTAGAGTAGGTAGCGAGAGGATGAAATCTGGAAATTGCACGAAGGAATTTATCGATGACCTGAATACCACGGGAAGGAGGGAGGTCATGACCACGTGGCGAACATTCTATGCCTGGGATCAACGATGGAGGCATCCTCTAAGCCAACAGGGGCTGGCCTATTTAGATCCGGTAATGGATCACTGTAATCGTAGCGGGGAACCATATTCGACCGCCTCTGTGTACAAGATCTGACTGTTGTTCAGCCTATACCCTGGCACGAGATTCATTCTATTCTACGATGATAATACGATTGGGAGTGATCGGAAGCTACTCTGAATCATCAAGACTCAGTTATTCTGTTCCGCGTAAAGTTGACGGACATGATATTGTATCCTCGTAAAACTATTAAGTTGTAAAGGTAATTGGAGACTATCGAGCATCTTCAGGACCGTGCAATGTCAATTCGGAATGGGTTACCTACAATTCAATTTTTACCAATAGAGAAATTACTACTGAGTAGAAGACGGCAGAAGCTAAATCCCGTGTACCTTTGATAAAATACCGAATGCAGAAGTTTTAAATATAAATTGAAAAATGACGAATTATTTTCCACGTAGGCACGGTGTAATAAATTCAACACCTTCATTCGTTGTAAAGATAATAATATTCATGTAGGATCAAAGTGACAATTTCAGGTGGCCTCGGGTGATGGCCATGTGTATCCATTGGAGGGGGTAGGAATACAGCGCGATTCGTTCGTAATCGACGACGCGGTTTCTCAATTATTTGCAGCCGCGCGCTGGAAATTGAACGTCATTTGATTTCGCTGGAAGGAAATTAATTCTGATGCAGCCGGGACAGATCGTATGCGCTCGAACGTAATCTGGGTTACGCTCGCGGGACAGAGGGGAAGGGATAGGATGGACGACGGTGGAAATAATAGGGAAAAATGGGGGAATGACGAGAGGGCGGACGAATGGATTCGACGGGTTTCGGCGCCCGATAACCGCGGGTCCGCAGTAATCCTACCTGTTACTTCGTTCCCGCGCCTTTCAGACGACGAATTACACCCACGGAATTTCATGGGGCGCGACTTCG